GACGCGTCAGACAGTGCTTCCAACGTTCCCGATCCTGTGCCAGACTCTGAGCTTCGGCAAAAGACAAATGGAGTCTGGAACATACTCCTTCCATATATTTGCATTAGGTTAAATTTGGTCGTCCCCTGGGCCTTTTGCCGATCGGATTTGCAAGGAACACTTCCTTAGCCTTCCTTTCTGGAGGCATTCGCAACACATGCCAAGGCCATTGCATTAGGAATCTTTCAAGTGCCAGTTGTTGATGCATGATCGTTGCGATGCTAATGAGCCGTTTGAGGTATTCGTTGTTCATCGAAACGGAACAAGTCAGGACAATATACAATATGTGGCATCAATTACGTTGTACGACATCACACTTAGCTTTTATCCGAAATATTTTCCCTCAGGAGGTATTTTTTAAAGTTCTTCGTAAGCACGATTTCAAATTTTTCTCTGGCATTGCAAATCCTTCTGTTTCAGAGAATAATCCTCCCTCTCATAGCCTAACAAGCGACTTTTCCAGGCTGATTTCATCAGAAATATAGACAGTAAAACTACCACCATGAGGAGGCTTGTTACTCAATTCATCATGTCTATTTATTGCACTTTTTCTCTGCCACATGGTCGCTTTAGCAAGACTTCAGCGGCCCATATCCTTTGTCTGCTTTTGTCATGGTTTCATGGAAAGTTGCTTCGTTCGTCAGAAAGTATGTGCAGAGATCGGTTTTTTCTGATTTGCAGAGATCTCCAACATTCTGCAGACCACGGCCACCGAGATTTATTGATAGGGCTAAGCCGGCTAAGTGCAGACGATTTCGGATGCTGCATGCAAATCCACAAAGGAAGTCCTGACCTTCCTGTCAAGATCATCGAGCGACGTGTGGCACTGTGTTAGGGTACCAAAGGTACACGCTAGCACCCGCACAGCCCAGGAATTGAAAGTCTCACCATCACGAAAGGCCACTCATCCATTCATAGAAGAAAATCGAGTTTTCAGGAAAAACTTCAAGTTTTTGTACGACTTTAATTCGTGTTTTCTTTCCTTTGCTCAGAGTCGATCTGATGATATTCCTTCAGTCACAGATATGTATGGTAGGCGTCTGGGCCTAGCCTAAAATTTCTTTTTCGTCCTCGAGATGCAGGTTTCCCGATTGCCATGACTATTCACGTTTAATATGCAGAACTGCGCATTTACCTAGACTGAATTATATTCGGATCGACCGGATACTATAGCTTGTAGATACCATCCGAAACACATTCGAGTTCTTTCTCATTTCTGCTGTACTGATTCAGTTCAACCACGTAGAATTGTTAGAAAAACTTGATAATGCTCGTGATAATGCTGATAATGATAACGAAGAACTTGATAATGTTCGTCCTCTGGATAACGTACCCTCGTTCTGATTTGTCTAGCAGTTCAAGAAGTGGGTTCATTGCTAAGCAGAACCATAAACGACGACGAGTGTCTTTCTGAAGACTGCCTCTTCAATGCTGATATGGATTCTTTTCAGTAGACAGTCGCGTTCGACACGTTTTTTTAAAGCAGGCCACCAGGCCATCTACATTTGAAGCAGTTTCAGCTTCCAATCTTGAGGAACTGAATTCAACGATTTCTTATAATCAATCCATCCAAGTGAGATGTTATGTTCTATATGCAGGAGGTGGTTGGCTGACTTGCCTGCAACTATTTTGCTTTCCTGTTAGACTAGTATTCGCAGGAAGACGGAATCTGACTTTCATCGCCAGTGTTGAAGTAAACGGCTTTCAGACGGTTGTCAGGCAAGTTATTGGCGCAAAGTTCTTAGTAACTGCCGCATC